GGTGTCGGGGCGGGGAAGGCTAGTCACGCAGGGGGCCGCCGCCGCGGCCCTCCTGCTAACGCGGGGCTTTCTTCACGCAGAAGATGCTGGTGTACTTCTGGGGGTTCCTGTACAGCAACTACTTTCGGTTCTGGCTGAAGTGGATCTTGAGGCTGCTGACTCGGAGATGCGAGTTACAGCGCGTCTTCGATGGCTCGAAGGCAGGCGCGCGGCGGACGCTGAGCATAGGTAATGGAGGACGCTGAACCGGGGGACTGGTTCAGGTCCTGAGAAACGTCGGGACGAGCAACCGCTGGAAACCGGTACCTGTCCCGAGTGCAGCGCGCGTCCCCCGGATCGTGTTTGCACTGCTCCCTTCTTCCTGGCTATTCTGTGGGAACGTTAGGTCAGAATGCCAGATGTGGTTTCCTTGCCTGCCTGCTAAGGTAATTCCAGTGAGCTTCAAAAAGCGAATCAGAAATGTTTTTACCCAGAGTCTTCCCGTCACTTTGTGTATGCTTTTACCTTCTCGTTATTAAAAAAAACCCCACAGAACAGACATGAATGCATTTGGGGGGGGGGAGGGAGGGAGAGCAGTTAAATGCACAGTTCTGCTTGATGCAGAATTTTGATCTAAAATAGTAATTTAAGAAACTACTTACAGTTTTTGCCATTTTTAACAATAGCTTGAGGAAGTGACTTCCTTATTCTTCAGTAATAAACACAGAAACATTTCTAAGAATGGAAAAATATCAAGAGACACATTTTTGTCTTGACGCCTTGTCGAATTTGTCTTTGTTTTTGTGCGTGCAGTTGATCGACGTTTTAAAAAATCCGAGTCTACTTTCAGCATTGTACTCGGGGATTATGAAAAAATCTGTGTAAATTAAGACTTTCAGTTACCTGATACCTGTTGATTAAGATGGAGTGATTTTTTGTTAATTACATGTGTAAAAGGGATGGAAAATTTTATAATGCTTACATGCCACAAGAAACCTATTGTCAATTATTTAAAACAATTCAGTTCAATTTAACCGTGACATTTACTTTTTTTGTATTGCAGAACATTCGCTGGAATCGTCAAAGAATAAGGTAAAAGATACTGGAGATCATACTGCAATAAAACCTTCTCTCAGAGACAGATCCCAGAAAAGAACACGTGCATTTACTTTTTGAGGGTGGAGGAAAGTAGAGGAAAAAGGGCAGAGAGGAGAGAACAGCATTTTGGGTTCTGTATGCTAGGGTTAGTCGAGCTTTCTCAAAAATAACTGTGTGTCTCCATCTCCGAAAGATAACCTGCTCTTTAGCAGCAGGTCAGACAAGTCGTTATAGAGAGCTGCTGTTCTTGGAGAGGGTCGGTTCTCCCTGTCACGACAATCTCTTTTGCTGCTGTTGTAGAAACCAGAAGTGTGATATAGATGAATGATACGGATAAAGCACTTCGATGCAGTGTATACAATAGCATCTTGAATTTGTTGAAAAAAAAAAAAAAGCAATGCAAGTTTGCAGGTAGACGTTTAACTGACAAGCTCGTTCCAATTGCTCTGTAGCAGTTAGACATAAGCTAACACTTTAAACCCCCAGATTTGTACACCTTGAACAAAACTTTTCCTCTTTAGACAGCGAGGTGACTGCATTCTCCCTTTTTCTAGCTGATCGCTGCAATGTGATGTTGAAAGAGAATTAGTAACTGCCACAAGCATCTTTGTTGCAGTAGAGCACAGTATGGGTGGGTCTTCTAGCATCTCCCAATTAAATGATTATATCAAATATATTAATGTTCAGTTTTAAAAGAGTTAACTTTTTACTTCACTGAAATGAAGCTGCTTTGGTGTTAGCATGGATTGTATTAAAGAATGCATTCTGACCGTAAAAAGTTTAGAAGACAAAGTTAAACTGTTGTGAAGTGATTTTAGGTGGGCGGTGTATAACTATCATTACTAATATTTGCCCTTTACTCTAGAAGACTGCAGAATAGCAGTATTTTACATCAAGTTCTTTTGTTTCACCCCAGCATTGAAACCTCAACTTCGTTCACTGTCTTCTAATTCTGAAGCATTATTTCCTTACTGAAGTTTTACCACTTTTGCTCCTCGATAGCTGCGTTTGTTTCAATTGAAAAGCATTTGAAAAATTTGAAATTCGAAAAGTTTGACATTTGAAGGCAAACGAGAACCTAGACTAAGCAACTCTCGAGCTTTTTATTTATTCTTTATGGGACTCCTGTGTAAACGTTGTTTACAGTCTGACAAAGTTACAGATTATGCTTTTATGTAATTATTGCAGATCTTTTATGTGCGATTTGAGCCCATTTATTGTAAACATTTGCAATAAATTGACTGTTGTCCTTTTATAGCAAAGAATACGTACGTGGCAGGTATACAGAAGCTGAGAAATAAGAATAAAGTAGATGATCGATTTCTGCATTCCTCATGAAGTCCTTTACCGTGTTAACTTCCTAGGTTTTAAGAAATGCTGTACACGTTGAGGAAGCTGAAATGGAGAAGTGTATCAGAGATGTAATGAAAGAAAAGAAAATTGAGCAGAAGGATACAGGGTACGTTTGGAACCAGAACATAAGTTCTTCATTGGCAGATAATTCTGACTTCTTGGCGCGTTCTTGCAGTTGCTTAATCTGATACAATATTTAGGCCATTCAGCACAAATCTTTAGAATGAAATTAGAAAATAAGGTAATGGTTACGTCCTCTTCAGTTCTAGAAAATAAATTGCAAAGTTTTAATTGACATAGATTTGGGATAACTGCATCTCTATCTTGCAAGTCCGTTCTGTTACTCCTTATTTCTAAGTAATATGATTATAGCATAGGTTGATTACATGAACTATGTAATTGCTTAGATATATTTGAGAGAGTATAGTGATGCCTGATTGATGTTTGCATTCATCTGCATAAGTATTTATGAGCGATTGAGAGGGAAAAATGTGAATAGTCAAAATTTTAAGGTTTAATGAAATGCTTCTTTGAAGCTATAAGCATTTCTGACAAAGTTTCACTTTAAGACTTACAAAAAATTTGGGGGTCCGTGAAGGTACAGGGGTCAGGACGATATATGGAGTTTTCTTGTGTCATCACAGATTTCAGCTAAGTTACTTTTTTCTTCCATAATTTAAGTGAATAGGGCCTGACTCTGCAGCGCTGGAATCGGCTAGAGGTTTTTTTAAGTAGAAATAAGATCCATATAGCAGTATACTTAACCAATATGCTGTAGTTTGAAAGATAAACATAAAGCACTTCCTAATTCTAGTGTTTACATTGCATTAACATAAGAAAGGTTTTATCTGGTAGTTCAGGCAAGAATTTATGGCTAACTACGCTTCTTTAATAGCTTCTGTGTGGTGTTTTGTTATTATTTCAGGTTTAAGACAAATCTGCATATATCCTTACTGCAGATATCAGGTTATAAAAAACTTTATCTGAATGTGGAAAATCTGAGGAAGGTCCCGTATGATTCGGATAACGAAGAACATGAGGAACAGTTAATTGAGGTGAAAATAATCTTTTAAATACAAAAGCTGTTTGTTTTTTCCTTCCAAGTACAACAGCTTGAGTGAACTTAATTTATTGGTAGCGTTCTTACCAGCTAGCCTATTTAAAGGTCTTTTCTACTTGTGAACTGCTAAGCCACTATAGAAGTGACACATTAAAATACAAAATCAAAGCAAAACAAATTAGTAAACTAGAGTTACTTGCACTGGGATTATGTTGTGTGAAATCAGACATAGCAACAACACATAAGTAGCAAAGTAATTTTGTAAGGGGTGACTGAAGGATCATAACTAAAGAGATATTTAACCTTATGCACATGTCTAACTTTGTAAACCGATAATTACTAAATAAAAAAGACACTAGTGTTTTCTTATTACTGCATCCCAGTCAACGTCAAAGAGGATAGTTTAATGCTGGAAGATAAAACCTATCAGTAATGTATTTTAGGTAACAATAAATAATACCAAGCAAATAATATAATACTGCTTGAGGCTTTTTTAAATAGCTTCTACCGTGCAAATATAGTAGCATGTCATTTTCTTAGCATTTCATAATTATCTCAACTTGCTATGCAAGTCCCAACATTGACGTGTTAAATAAGCATTCATTGAGAATTTGTACTTCAGTTTATAGCTGTCCTGTCGGAAGATGATGCATAAATTAATTTCTGAAGTGAAACAAGTCTTTGTTTCTTTAGTATTGATACAGTGGCTTTGTCCGTGAAGGGAAGTTATTGCATTTAATGTTAAATGGAATCGTTTCATAATTGCTGAAATAAGCCATTGTAGTATGACTCCAGATTGCCACTAACAGAAAAGAACAGCATGCAGATTGTATCCTGTTCCTTGGTGAATGGTTTCTAATGTGCAGCAGCAAGTGTTCTGAACTATGTGACCTGGAATACTTTAGCAGCTGTGCATAACATGGAAGCATATTTGTGCAGCTTTGGAATTTGCTGATGCCTCATGAGAATCTGAAGGCCAGAATCACCAAGCAGTGGTGCGACATTGGCTTCCAAGGTGATGATCCCAAAACAGACTTCAGAGGAATGGGCCTGCTGGGGTTAGTGAATCTGGTGTAAGTGAAAAGAAGTATTTAATTTCTGTTGTAACTGATTTTCAATACCTATGTATTTTCTCTAGTTAGTGCTGTTTCTGATAAAGGCTGAATAGAAGCGAATAGAAATAGTGGCTTCTGTACAGTGAAAAACAGTATTATCTAAATAAGTCAACATTTCTAGTGGCTGCACATCTGTAAACGTGTGGTTGGGTAGAGGCCAACAAGCGAGGGGAGGAACAGAAAGTTGCCCAAGACACCTTATTTTTTTGTTGTCATATGATAGATTTGATAGGTTATAACTTAGAAAGTTATAACTTGTCAAAAGCTTTTAAAATGCCTGAATTAATTACTGTAATGAAAAATAAACAGGTTTGCATAACTTTGCTGACCTAATTTGTGGACTTGGGTGAACTTCATATTTGATGTTCAGATCGCAATGATTTTTTTTTTTTTACTGTATTAGTTCATGCTGAATCTAATTTAATTTGCTACCTTTTCCTTGGTTTTCATGTGTGCCATTTTTCAGTACAGAGTAGTATTCAGCTTTAGTTTAAAGCTACACGTTTTGTTGTTGAACACATTAATATTTTTTTTATATGAACTTAAAATAATGGAAGATCCTGTTTTACACTGACAGGTATTTTAGTAAGCATTACACCGACGAAGCTCGTCAGATCCTTTCTCATTCTAATCACCCAAAGCTGGGGTAAGTCACTATATGACTTTTTCTGGCTTGTTCTGTATAAGAGCTCAAGTGAAGACTGCCAAGTATGTGTCCTGAAAATAAAGAGGAAAATATTTGTGCTTTTTTCCGTTAAAGGATGAAAAAAGGGCCAAAGTAGAAAGGCATGAGAAGCCGAACACAGAAATCAATTTCAGGCTGGGAACTATGTGCAGCTTCTTTTTTTTTTCAGAATAGACTTGTTGGGACAAAAACGTTGCAAAATATTGGCTTTGGTTAACACAGTGAACACCTTTAACATCCTGGTTAGCTTTATTTGTAATAGGCTTAGATCAGACTTAGAAATGAATACTTATTTCTTGCCTTCTTACTGATCCTGTGTTGGGAGGGTATAGGTTATCTCTTAAGGACCCTTTTTTTGCTAGGTTTCTGTTCTGTGATAAGTATATAAAAATAGATATTTTGTTGCTGTTCAACTTCATTTCTGAAAACTTTGCATGTTAAAACATTTAGCTCAATTTGCAGGGAAATACACTCTAAAATCAGTCAGATACAGAGGAAAGCTGGTAAACCCGTGTATATCATCTGATCCATCTAGTCCCTGGTTAACTCAGTCACCTCCCAAGAATGGGAGGCTTTCACGACTTCGATTGTAAATGATATTACCTTGTGCAACTATGTCATGAATAGGGTATCCAAGACATTTAGATCAATTAAATACCCATATCATTGACACAAATTAATCCTTTTTTTTTCCCCTTCCCACAGAAACACTTGTTTTAACAGTCCTTTAAGAATTTCTATTGTGGTGCTTTCTATACCGTGCAACAGAAAGCCAGATTTTTTTCAGCTTGAAGAACAGGTTGAGATGGCCATTCCATTTATACTGTAACAATGTTTTTGATATCCGATTTTTAATATTCCAGCAGATCTAATGATTTCAAATGAGCAAATTGAAGTCAGTGTTGATTAGCCTTACCATCTCGTTACTGCCTAATGGAGGCATTTGCCATACTCCTGTATAGGAAACTAGCGTTTTTAAGTAACTTTTACATGGTTGGATGCGCCAGGGAATGGAAGGAGCGGTCTGTAGGCCAGAGTCAGCTTGTCAACAAGTGTCATAGGAAAAATGACTCTTAGTGTTATCCTAATGCAGACTGTTTCAGGGAAGCTTTTAAGCCCTTCGATCCATAAGGCGAAACATGACCTGTGATTGGTGTTGCAGATATTCTTATGCAATAGTTGGAATCAATCTGACAGAAATGGCATACAGCTTACTTAAGAACGGTGCTTTAAAGTCTCATCTGTACAACGTAGTCTCTGGATTGCCGCAGATGGAGCACTTCCATCAGTTTTACTGTAAGTATCTGTAGCTTCTTTAGCACAGTCTACCGGGGGGAGGCCTACAATGTAGAGTTTAGGGTTTTTGGAGTGCGTTTCCACTCTTTTCTCATGAGCCAGAGCAAGCTGTTTATCTTCTGGATCAGGTATTGGAAATGCACCTGATGCTTAAACATTGTGCTACAGAAATGTATGTTCAAGGGATAAATTTGGGTGGCTCTCTATATATTAGAGACTGCAGGCTGAAAACTCAGTATCTGCAGATTTATTTTTTTATTCATTATGACAGTGTCCGAAAGCTTGGTGTTGACCAGGATGGGACACTCCCTATTTTAAGGGATTGAACAGAGTCTAAAGGATCATTCTAGGTCTAGCTAGATCAAGGCAGAAAATTGTGGAGGTCATTTTTGCAGATTTGCATTTTATTTTCTTCACAGGTTATCTGGTTTATGAGTTTGACAAGTTCTGGTTTGAAGAAGAACCAGAAAGCATTATGCACTTCAACCAGTACAGAGAGAAATTCCATGAAAAAATTAAGGGACTTCTAATGGATTGTGATGTGATACTAACCTTACAAAATACAAAGAAACCTTAACTCCTCTGCAGTCTATGAGGTTCTGCATCAAAAATGGAATTATGCATTTGGATGGAAGTTTTGCATGTTTCGGCAAAAACTGTTTAACAATAGAACTATTTTTTTTTTACATTTAAAAAAAAATATCAAAATTCAGTTAAGAAAGCTTGGACAATCAACCTCTGTTTACAGGTCTTTATATGCTATTCTCCAAAGGACAGCTTTTTAAAAAAGAAACAAAACAAAAAACAACCAACAAACCAACACAAAAACCAACCCACAAATCTCAAGAGCCTCTGGACCACTTGCTTTCACAATTTCTTTTATACTCCTTGGTGCAGGAACATGAAGCAGGTATTTATGCCGCATCATGTTTTCTGTGAATAGGTTTGACTGTTAATTGTCTTTTAAAAACTTCTTTTAGTTGAAATTACTCTGGTTTTAGACTTTTTATGTTCTTGTTCTGTACATGTAGTCAATTGTTCACTCATCAATGTTAAATTTCTCTGTAGTGAAGAGGTCCACGAAGGGGATGTATTAGTCGCTTATGATTTTGGAGAGGAGGCTTAATCCATCAACATACTGACAAACTTCCTAGAAATTGCTTCTGGCTAAGGAAGCTTTTTTTATCTATGGATTTGTACCAGCAAATTCCTATGCTTGGAAAAAGCTTAGTTTGCAAACGAACAAAAAGAACCACAAATCATCAGTGTGAGGATCAGATCCTCAGACTAAAGTTACTCCTTCTAAAAAATACTCCTACTGTAAAAATTCTCAATTCTTTCTAATTTGACTTCAGCTGCTCAGGCTGCTCAACTTTGTATCTGTTGTCAGGCCTTTCTTTTAGCAGCTAATGGGGTATGCTCAGTGGGAAATACAAGAGAGTTAGTTTAGCCCTTTTATAAAGTTCACTCATTAAAAACCTTTATTGCAGCTGCAGTCCCTATTTTGTGAAAATAGATTCACACCTGAGTGCAAGTCTCTAACAAAGATGTATTTTCCATGGAAGGGATGCAACTGCGATACGTTCCTTAACATTGGCATCTTCAGACAATCTAGTCAATAGGACTTTATATCTATATTGTGACTAATTACTGCTTAAAGCAACTTTAAACAGATTTGGTATGACCATCACTTCGTTTTCTAAAATCTGCTATTAAATAAGTGCCTTCTGCTTTACTCAATCAGTGTTTTATTTTGATTCTGTAACCAGATCATAGCCTTAGAAGCTCGACTTATTTGGGAAAGACTCTTTCAGTATATACCTAAATAGCACACAGTGGCACAAAATTTGTATGCTAATAGAAGCTTTCATGCTTTTTTTTAAATCATCTCAGGTAAATTGGTTAACTCCTAGTCAATGACTAATCATGAAGAGATTCCTGAAGAGTACAAATATTGAACACAAGAAGGAAAAAAGACAAACCCCTTTTTGTAATGAGTGATGTTACACTACATAAGTATTAAATGTATTATTACAATATGGAGTGCTACATCTCCTTGGAGATAATCAAAACCCAACTGGACGTGGTCCTAAGCAGCCTGCTGTAGGTCACCCTGCTTTGGGCAGGGCGTTGGACTAGCTAATCTCCAGAGGTGCCTTCCCACCTCAGTAATTCTGTGAGTCCGTATCGTGTAACTAGTGACTTCTTGCACTGCATCCACCCAATTGCTCTTGATCCCTTAAATGTTGGTGATCTCTTATTTGTAGGAAAGCTCCTGATCAGGGTAGACAGTATATATGTAGGAGGTAACGCAGCTCTGTTTTCTTTTTGTGGTACCTTAGGTATAGACGAGAGTTAAACAATTCTTAAGTTTAACATGTGCAAGGTGGAGAAGGGTTCATCTCATCTATGTTGGGTTGATGCTATTCTACTAAAAAAGAAAAGGTAACGTGAAGATGCTTGTAGGGAGAGTAGTTACGGTTATGCCACGGCTTGTAAGCTGAACAGCTAAACTGACTAGATTAGATACGAAGCTGACCACAGGAAGCCTAGTTCTTTCGCTACTCCCAGGTACTTGGGTCCTGTAATTTTCACCACTGAAAAAAGCTGAGGTCCTGTGGAGAGCGTTCTGAGATTCGGGTCCTGCGGTGGAGCTCTGTGTCTCTGAGCCTTGTAGATACTGGACATTCCTAAAATCTGAGGAGAGAAGTGGGAAGCGGACTCTTTCACAGTTAGTTGTCTGTTACTCTCTAGCCCTAGCTTCTGTCATGTTTGTCTACCTTCAGTAATAATTTTTGCTATTGCTTGTAGATCTCCTTTGCAAGCAATGTGAGACTGACTTTCTGAATTTCAGAAGTGACCCCAGTATGTTTAGCAGCAGTGGGGAAGGAGATCCCATTCTTTATTTTCATCCACTGCTTGCTAGCAAGTAACAAAACTGCTTGAGCCATCTCTCTAAAACCCTCCCCTGTGCTAGACTCTGCAACCTTTTTTTTTTTTCTTTTTGGCAACAGTTGCAAAAATAATCTACACCCTCCTCTTTCCAGCCTTGAGCATCAAGTTCCAGATTTCCTGTCGCACGCCTAAGACACTTTAGTGTAGAATGTAGATTGAGCCCGATGGGAGATGCATCTTCATTAGCTATTTCTTTTTTTTTTTAAATCAAAGTGTGAGCTGGGAGTAAACTGTGGCAGCGTAAAAGGAAAAAAAGTAAACCCCAACCATCATCAGATGAGTGAGATACATGGGAATGCATTAGTTTGCACGTAGTAATTAAGGTGAATGTTTATGTTAGGCTCCAGTACACCTCCCCAGTAAACAGTTAGAATTTGCATGTAGTTTTGTACGATCAAGTAGCCAAGTCCTTCTGTCTAGGGGTCACTCCCTGTATGTAGGCTAGTACTGGGTGTCCCTGTTTTGCACCAGTGGTAGGCTAATTGTATTACGGTGGTAGCTAGAAAATATATGGGAAAAGGTAAAATTGTGTTTAGGGGAGGGAAGAACAATGTTTTACTAGTCGGTGGTATTTCATACTAACTGTTGTGGGGCGACAATCCTAAGGTTACGGAAGATTCAAAATGGAGGTAGGCCACCTTTCTGCAAGTTGATATAATCAATTTGTTTAACGTCAGTTATTGCTCATGGTTTATTCGAAGAGTCTTAAAGCCTTGGTAAATTCTCTTGTTATTTATTAACTGTCATGTTTTAATGTATTATCAGAATTTGCAAGTACTGTTAGTTTTCTAACTTGCTGCCTCTTTAAAGCATTCACTGTGTGAAAGCTTATATGCAATAGTAATTTTAGAAAAAATCTAAAACTGAAGACAACAAGGTGGTTCTCTAAATTTGTTGTTGTTGTTGTTCCTGTAGCAACTGTTTAACAAACTACCTCCACTTGTGTTGTTTAGTGTATGCTTGAAACGTGGTGCCACTCCGTGAACAAATTAATCTGAAGATAAGTAGAAGTTCATCACAAGCAAAAGTAAAACCTAGTCTTTCAATAGGTAAACACATTGCTTCGTACATAACCAACTTGGTTGGAAAGCGATTTGGAGACAGCGCTACTTAGGAAGAAAGAAACTGAGAATGTTTTTAAACTGGTTGTGCTTCTGTCATCTGATACAGCAGTGTAAAGAATAGGGCATTTTGTCCCAAAGGACAATAGGAAAAGGGGCCAATTTAAGCACCTCAGATAAATAGTTTTGGATTTTCACTCTTTGAAAAACGAAAGAAAATGCAAACAAGAAAATAAAACACACACACACACAGAAAGCCCCAACCATTCATCTTCTAGATTTTCCATCCTAGTTTAAATACCAAACGCTTTACAAAAAAAATACTGGTTAGCCTTGTTTTAAGAATTATCGTGATGAAAAGGTTTGTATTTAGTTAGGTGGGAGTTCAGCAGTCAGTATTCTTGAAAATACTGCTAGTGAATTTGTGGTAAAGATGTAAGGTGGTGTTTCTTTCTGTCATGCTTGTCTTGTGTTGCTGTAGTACAATGGTGATCAATCTCTGGACCGATGTTTCTTGTACCAGTCAATATATAGTCTTTCGCTAGGGAAGAAAAAAAAAAACAACCCGGCCCAAGACAGCTTGTGGGCAGTTTCTTCTTATCACACTGTGCTTAGATAGCTGCGTACTAATAGAAATTTCTGTTTACCGCAATATAAAAGCAATAATGTAAACTGTGATGTCTGTGTAACGGAAAGAGACGTTTACAATGGTAGCAAATAAAGAACGAGTTATTCCAAAATATTGTCAACGTCAGTGTGTTACGGCCTGCTAGAAAACGTAACCATTTCCAGTTAGCCATGCTCTCAGTTCGCGCACGTGCACCGTGATACGAGAGAAAGCTTTATCCTATCTTCTCTTATTTGTTTTGTTTTTTCTCCAGCTCTGAGAACTTGTTTAGAGGTCTCGGTGGTTCTTGTACGGGGCTTGCGTTTGTGCCTTTCCTCATAGTGCTGCGGCACAAACTGTAGAAGTGGTAGGCAGCAGAACATCTGTGTGTGTGGAAGCTGAACTGGAAAAAACAGCAGCAGCTGGAACAAACGCTAGCTGGCTCACATACGTTCTCTAGTTTTTAAATCATCATCCAAGATACGTACCTTAAACACCAGGAGAAAGGAATACGATCTAAATCTCACTGAGATCCACGCAAAAAGTGTTTGTTTTTAACTCTCAGGATTAGTCCGATACCATAGAAAAACATGCTTACGTGTAAGTCCACTTGAAATCTTACATCTATTGTAACAGGAAATTGTGCAACGGGAAGGTCCGAGTTCGACAGACATTACGAATTTGTGCGTATTATGGCCTTTAACCCTCCCTTGCTGCCCCGACCTTCGTCAACCTGTTACTCCTCACCAAAGTCACAGCTATGGCGTATCGCCCAGACCAACGGCATCCGCGCGAGGTGAGAGGAAAGGCTTCCTGCTTTGCTCGCTGACCGGCTTCTCCAGCTATCCTCTCACTTTGTTCTACACCTGACCTGAAAGGTGGCAGCATCCCTTTTCTCAAATGCTTTTAGTCCATACCACAGAAAGCGGACCTCGCTTCCCTGATACATAGCATATACGAAAAGCACGTTGGGTTGGAAGGAGGCAGAGAGTAGTTTTGCTGAGCGAGCACTACGTTGCTCTCTTTAGTGATGGACCAGAATTTTGATCATGGAATGTAAGAGAATATTACCCAGGTAGGCTGCCATACTCTGCTGCAAGTGGTAGAGACTTATTACTGCTTTATTTCAGTTGCTCTTGAAGTCCTCACTTTAAAAGAAGCTCTGTTTTAAGCTTTAAAAACCAGCAAAACCCAAAACAAGCCAAAGCCAACCAAAACCCAAAAAAACCACAACAAGGATTTTGTTTGAAGGACCTGGAAGTTAACTCTTGGAGTTAACTCGAAGCGCAAGTGTTTTTGTTCAGGAGAGCAAAACTCCAGGAACAAAATGGAGAGTTGGAGAACTCCTCTGGAGAAAGAAAGAGAAACCCTGGTTTGTTTTCATGTCTTTTTTTTTTTTTTACCCAAGAAAATATTTTTACCTCTGTATCTTCCACCGTGCCTTCATCTCTATACAAGCGATGTTAAATAATTTACTTGGTTTTTCAGCACCATTTGTATTTCTCAGGTAGCCTTTGTTTCTCCTCCTGAATTTTGGAGACCAAACGCTTCCATTAATGTACGAAAGTGCTACTGCATGAGAACTACATAGATCTCACCTGTAGCAGTTCTATTACTTCGGAAGCATAGAGCAGGCCCTGCACTACAGAAACATCCCACTCCTCCAAACCCCGGATGCCAAGTTGGTCAGTTATGCAAATACCAGTTATTTTAGAAAAAGGGATGCGGAAGCAGCTATTCAGGAAATTTAAATGGAGATATTGAGTACCGCAGAAAAGAGAAGAACCAGAGTTAAATTCTCTTCTGGTGTGACATGTTTTGAGACACACTATCTGCCACCCCTTCTTGAGAGCCTTGCGCTGCAGTTAAGACTGACTTCCTGTATTTCATCCCTTGTATTCCCAGCACTGCAACACTCTTACACGACGACGCTGCTGATACCAGCATGGATCACACGTTTCTATTATTAGCCATATTCCAATGTAATCTTCGCTGCCGCAGTTCTGTTCTAATTATTTGCCGTCAGGCCAATTTATATTTTCACTGCTGAATAAATCAACATTTTAAATGAGCATTAAAAGTCACCATCGCTGCTTGAAGTACATAACATTTGACTCAAGACTATCTTCTAGTGGAAAGAAATAACGTAAAAGAAATCTTTTCTTCCAACCAGAGGATAAGGCTCAGCAACAGACGTGACCGCTTCACTTTCATTCTTGCTGTGACGTTACCCCTCGGCCTGCATCTGAACTGGTGAGCTCTAGGCACGGACCGGCCGTCTCCCACAGCATCAGGTGTTGATGCCAGAGTCCGAAGCAAGGCCCCGGGCACTGGAACCTCCTGCTCTAGCTAAGCAAAAGGTCAGGATACTAAGGCACGCTCCACCATAGGCTGAGCTAACCTATCAACCCATACGCTACTCCTTAGTATTTTCTCATTTTTTCCAGATGTTTTAGTCTAAGCCCGACTGGTCCATTTGTCTTACAAAAATGGATACAACCGCATCAAGTGGTTTTTACAGTTAATACTTAATTTCTGAAGAAAGGCATCCTCTAGCTATGGCGTACCTCATTATTACTGAATTACCAAGAACTGAAACAGACGAGAGATGATGGTTAAGTAACTCAAAGGGATGCCAGAATTTTGGAGAGTAACAGCACTGGAACTCATCAACGTGCGTACAACCCAAATTGGTGGAGACCGGGTAAGCTGTGCTCCCTACCTGTAACACACTGGTACAGCCACGGGTGCCTCCTCTGCCCTATTGCTCTTCCATTGAGGCAGGCTGCAGGCTTACAGGGCTTACGCACCAGCCTCCTTTTGTTGCTCTAAGTAACCTGATGGAAGTCAAACTCTTCCCAACAGTTTCTTGTTGGTTTCTGTATCGCACCTACTGTCGAGAGACCCAGTTACCAGAGTTTCAAAACGCTGCTGCAAGATTAAAGATTAGTAATGAAGACCCTGTGACAGGAGGGATCCAGAAGCTTGGAGAGTACGCAGCTGAGGAACCAGACCCGGCTGCACAGCTTTCCAAGCAAAAGCACCATCTCTTTGCTTGACCAACTGCTTTAAGGCTATTCCCTTTCTCTCCCACAGCCCCCTTA